TATATGCTAGTGAATGTGCTTCTTTACTAGTTATATGTTCGCTCTTTGTACTAATCTTTTTGTTGAAGGAAAAATGTTTATTTGGTTATGCACATACAAAAACTTGTATAATGGTTTTATCGTTATTACAGTACTATGCTAGTTCACAGTATTGTTGATGCAAGTGCAGGATCTGAGGCCTTCAGTTTCTGAGAGTTTATTTCAAATAAAATCAATAATGACGAGTCATGAGAAGTTACAGTCTTGCTTGAGGAACAAAGTTAGAGAGCTCGACGATGAGAAGGTATGATATTTCTACTTTTGGATATTTGAAAAAAATTGCTCACTTCTGCATAACTGAAGTTTGTCCACATTTCTTGTTGAAATATAGCTTCTTCTTTTCAATCAAGCTTCAGATCTTCGGAGCCAGATAGAAGAATTAAGTTTAAAGGTTCAAACTTCTGTGAGTGCATTTGCTGTAAGTTACCTTACCTTCTTTTGCATGTTTCTTGTCAGCTTAGTCCAATTTTGATACTATCAAATTTTTATTATTTTATTTTTTTTGTAGGAGCTTAGCACGGAACATGAAATGCAAACTTCTGATTTCCTTTCTCAAATTCGAATTCTCCAAGAGGAAATTTTATCGTTATCATCTTGTTCCTTGGCTAAGGAAAAGGAAAGTTTGCGGAAAGATTTGGAGAAAACAAAAGCAAAGTTGAAAGATATAGAATTCAAACTCAAGAATGCTGTTTAGGAGAAACAAAGCTGGAGGTCTTATACCTTTCATATTTTGTTTTTTATTTTGTGTTTCATTTGGATCTCACTGTCATAAATGCATTTTACCAATACCGGGGCGAAAAGGCATGTGCTGAGAGAGAAGTTAAACACTTGTTCGGCCAGAAGGCCGTGCTTGAACGTGATATGAGCAAACTGTAAGGATTCTTTAATTAAAAATGGGCTTGTATGGGTAAATAATTGTGTGTTAAATTATAGGATATCGAATTCGGTCGAGCCCGATTAAAGTGATCTAATAAGGTTTCGGTTTTGGGCTTTAATGTATCCAATTAAAGTATGGGTTTACATATGTGTAGAGACCGGGCCCAAATCCTAATTCTATGATGGACCGAATTAGGTCAAAGGGCATTCCCATATAAATAGGTTATGGTCCCCAGATCACACGAAACGAAACGAATTATTCATTCTCTACTGCATCCCATCACAGAGAGGAAAAGAAGACTGTGTGTAGATTTGGAAGATCATACCGCATAATCTATATTGCATTAACCATGTCAGATTCAGGTATGCTTCCGCTTTAATTATTATATCTCTTGATGATTTAACATGAAAGATCCGGTATTTTAAAGTATTAAATTACCCAACAAGTGGTATCAGAGCCTCTTCATGTTGAATCATTGAGAATCAAAGATTTTAATTTGGTTCTTGCAATACATTTTGAAATTTTCAGATTTAACAATTTTTGGTTATATATTTTGTTAAATTTGAAAATTTTTTGCGGTATAATTTTATTATTTTCGTATGGATTTATTCAGTTTAAAAAAAAAAATTCAGATTTGAAATTTGGAATTTTTATAGTTTCGGATTAAGATTTAATTAAAATAAAAAAAAAATTCCGGCAGCGAAGTGGCGCCGCTCCGGCGAGCTGTGCGCCGCTGCCTACGCAGCGCTGC